AACCTGCTTTGCGGGGAAGCTATCTTACCGCGCTTGGACATTTCGTAACAATATGTATCTAAAATTACATTAAACTCTTGTTCATCATGACAGGTTACACCTAAATAATTAACTATTACGCTCCAGAATTGCAGAAGCAGTATCAATGCCATCCATTTCATTTAAAATAATGCAATGCAAGTCAAAGATAATAACTTTTTAAACAAATATTCAAATAACATTGAAAATAATAAAATCTCTGTTCTGCATCAATCAAGTTGTTCCTTTTAAATCAGGTGTTTAAAAGAGTGAATACAATTAAAAACGACGGAAAGAAATCAGATTTTGAATAAAATAGTTCTCCACTTGGAGACGTGAACCTGGAGAGACGAATTTTGAATTTCGAATTTTATGTTTCATAGTTTATAAAATTTTAATGAATTTTTGATTAACAAATTCAACGGTTTGAAAGAGAGCAATGGCAATACTGTACTTAATAAAGTACTCCTCGTCAGACTTTCTCTCGAAAATTCTGAAGATATGCTACTTTTAATGTTTTGTGATTTTGCTGTTGAATGGAATTTTATGTGGCGTAAGTGGGAAGAACATAATATTTAATATGAAGTTCTTGGCACTTAAATCATAAAATTCAGTTCAGCAGCAATATTGCAAAATAACTTTAAATTAAGCATACCTTTAGAATTTCCTATACACAGTCTCAAGTGCTGAAGATATTTTTTTTTTTTTTTTCTGTACAGCGTTGCCATTGCTCGCTTTGAAATCCTTGAGTTTGTTAATCAAAAATTCGTTAAATTTTGCAAAATATGAAATAGATAATAAAACAAATTCCAAATTTGGGCTTTCAGATGCTGATATTCGAGTGGAAATGTATGTTATTCAAAATCGGATGGCTCTAGGCACCGTTGTTTTATCACAATGCGAGAAACATAGAAACATTTATGCAGATTCTTCCTTATTTAATTTCTTTAAATATAATACAGGGCTTGGTGGCAACAATTTGAAAAGTGAACCAATAAACATCCTGCCAAAAAATTAAAAAAAGAATAAATTCAATTAACAATTTTATTAATTCTCTATACGCTTGTTTTAGGACGAATAATACGGAATACTGATTTTAGTATTTTTAGTTTTGTTTGTGTGTTTGTTTAAAGAGTTATTTTGCTTGACTTGATTTGCATTATATTTATTTTATATCAAATGGATGGTGTTGATACTGCTTCTGCATTCTAAAGAGTAATGGTTTAAGCTTTGTTTTTGAATTGACTATGACCAAAACTCTTTCTCAGTTTATTGACTTTGTAAATTTAGTAAATTTGTATTATTATCAGATCATAAACAGACTGATCCATTTATTTATTTCGATAAAGATATACCAGAAAATGTAAATTCTTCTTTAACTTTAATTTGGCATTTTTTATTCGACTGTTTTTGTATTTTTTGCTCTTATTTAATTTTGAAACTGGACACGTTTTTCTAATTATTCTCAGTGGTTTATTGCTTTTGCAAAATGGTTTATACATCGCTTTCTCCCCCTCCGTAGTCCAGGTTGAATATAAATTAGGTTTAAATTTTGGATTTAACATATTATTTAATTTATTAATTTTATATATTTAATAATTAATTAATTTAATAGCGTAATTTAATAATTTAATATATATATATATATTTCAATATATTAAATATATTAAATTATATAATTTTATATATATATATATATATATGTGTGTATGTGTGTGTAGAAATTAGAGTATAGTTGAAGTTCCGTTAATAAAAAGTACGATAGTGCAAAGAAGTTCAAAATTAGCGCCAAGTTCTGCATAATTTTAAAGGAATTTAAAAAGTCGAGATAATAAGCAGTAAGAATATCTGGATCCTACCTAGCTCTGTTTCCGAAATACCTCATAATAGAAAGGTACTTAACAATAATTAAAAGTGAACAAAAATTATGAGATCAATATAGGAAGTACAACCAGTGGGTTGTACTTCCTATACATACAATATCTTTTGTATCATTTTATCCCCATTCAAAACATAGCGCATAAATAAAAGAAAGGATGTTATTCTTTTTCAGCCTTAAATTATGTAAGAAATATAGTCTAGTAACGACCAGAGGCTGCCAGACAATCCCATGCGGGAAGTGAGTCCTCCCCTTTTCTTAGTCAACTAGCTAAGGTCACAACAAAATTTTTTTTTTTTTTTTTTTTTTACCAAACTTCTTAATTTGTGCACATTTTCATACTTCTAAACATCTATTAGGACTATCCTCATGCATATGTTATTTGAAATTAATACACAACAATCTTATTATTCCATCGAACTCAAAAGACGCAACGTAAATTTGTCCTCAAAGAAACAGAAGGCCCTCGCTTTATTATGCTTATACTGTATGCCATGTGTAGATAACGAACGTATTATGCGAACTTCTTTTGAAAGGTTATCGAAATCTATACTGAATAAACATGATCATTACAAGAGAGATAGCCCTGAATGTTCTAAATATTTTAGTTTCAGGCTTTTTTTTCTTCTTGCCTCTTTTTAAATTATAGTTTGTGTATAATATTGGCATAATTATATCCAGCATTAAAACAGTTTTCGTTTCATTGTAAACAGATTAAAATATAATCATGTAATTTTTCACAATCGCTGAACTGCAATTAAACCAAGTTTAAATTTATTGCCTAAGTTATAAAAAAAAAAGATTTATCTATTACTCATTAGAGATTAATAGATTAATAGATTAATTTATCTATTAATCTACGAGTTTGTTTTTTAGATAATATTTTAGATTAAATTTTGTATTAAAATATTAAAATCGCATTTTGTATAGCTGCATATTCAAGATAATTGCTAAAAACAAAAACGATGATTATAAAATTATGATATTTTTAACTCAATTTCTTTCATATACTCTCATCGCTTTTTATTTCAAATTCATTTCACCACAATGCAGACCACAATACGGTTACTAAGGCACACACACACACACACACACACACAAAAAAAAAAAAAAAAAAAAAAAAATAATAAAAATAAAAATATATATATATGAAATGTTTCAAATTTTAATCATGTCCTTAGGGGCTGTTTTTTTAACGTTTTGTGCATTACCCTTATTTATTAATCTATCATGTTCTTTGCACTTAAACCATAAAATTTATTTCAATAGCAAAGTCTCAAAATATTTTAAAATGAGCATATCTTTAGAATTTCCGATGCATAGTCTTGACGCGCTTGGAGATAAAAGTTTTTTTTTTCCCCCCGTACAGTGTTGCCATTGCTCGCTTTGATAATCGTTGAGTTTGTTACTTCAAAATTCGTTAAAGTTTACAAAATTTATGAAATAGATAATAAAATTAATTCTAGATTCCAAATTTGGGACTTCTAGATGTCCATATTTGCAGTGAGGAAACATACGTTATTCAAAAACTTGGATGAACTCTAGGTACCGTTGTTTTATCGCAACGCGAGAAAGATACATAGATTTATACAGATTCTTACATGATTTAATTTCTTTAAATAAAATGACATTGGACTCTAATATTTCGTGACAACAATTTGAAAATTGAACCGACATTTATAGGAGTCCGACGCAAAATGCCAAAACGAAAGTAATAGTCCTTCGGGACTCAAATCTCTTTGGACTAATAAATAAATAAAATTGTAACATCTTGCGTTTTAATCTATATATAGAGAGAAAAATGTATATGAATGATCTTGCTAAACAGCCTCTTATAACTGATATACAGAATTTTTGTTAGCTTCACATTAAATTTAATAAAAATATATCAACGATTGTTTTACAATATTGTTGTTATAGAGAAGGTTCGTAAAAATGTGTTTCAGATGTTAAATGTGCATAGTTTATAAAAGTTGATAAATTTGCTTGATGAAATTATAATTTATTTACCTAGAAGTTAAACATTTTAATTCTCTGATCGACACAGATCTCTGATTCGCTAAGAAAGCTCAAATTTCTTAAAACTGCCATGAGAGAGAAGTATTTTCTTGGCTTTAATGCCCCTGGTACTTTATACGTAGACTTACGCACTTTCAATACATTGCCTTAATTCCTTGGGCATATTTCAACGCACACACACACACACACACACACATATATATATATATACTTTCAAAAAGCCATGACAAAAAAAATATTCTATGCAGTATATATGCAGAAAAACGCACGTATATATACTTTCAAAAAGAAATCACAAAAAAGTATTCTATGCTGTATATATACGGCCCTGTCAGTCTTAATTTTAGATCAATAATTAAGAGTTAACTTTTTATGTTATTTTAATGCTAGCTAACTTTCGATTATGTGATATTTATCTCAGTGAAATAGCTTTCATCTTTCTTGTATTTAGATTTTGCAAAGAAATTGATTCCTTTGAAAGGTATTTATTCACAATGGAAGATTTACTATTTAAAATTTTCCCCATTATAATCGTCTGAAGATACCTGTTTCGTTCATTTAAAACTTAAATTATTTCCATTTTCATCCATTCTTCTTTTGTTCTCAGATTTTAAAAAAAAAAAGGTACATTTCGTAATTTTAATGTAAACGTAAATTATCTGACGTAGGAAACAAGGAACTTTTCCTTATGTCTGTGTTTTATAAAAGATTTTAGAAATAATATGATTATCATCTCAAAATTCTCAGTTTATTCTCTTCTTTCTAAACTGCTTCATACTAATAATGTCATCTATCATTTATAATGTAGTTAATTATTAATACAGTATTAACGTAATTGTAATATTTCCAAACTGACACTCTTTTATAGCTCTAGTTTGAGTTATGAATTTTAATCCTTGTTAAAATTCCTTGCGTATTTCTACATTCAGTTCAAATAAATAAATATGTAAAATATTTATAACAGATTAAAAAAATTAATTCTTTTCTGAAGTAAATATTTTTTGTACAGTGCTTCATCTAGCTTCTAGACTCTTTCTCTTCATAAATTCAGGATAATGGAAAAGATATAATTATAATTACTTACTCCTTGGTTCACGTGGACCATCAACTGTCACTTTAATAGCTTTGACGTACGTGGCAACTTGAGGTGGGGTTGTGCTTAGTGTGATGGTCAGCGTAAAACTTTTACCTGGAAGAGAATAAAAAAGACCTTTTATTTCTCATAAGTTATTCCAAGTTATTTTGACTTGTTAAGAACATTTCATAATAAAAAAACCTCATAAATTTCATTAATTACCAGTCACCAATTTATTGCGATTGTCAAAACAGTTTTTAAATTTAGGAATTTCACAGAACTTTTTATCTTTACGCTACTTCTCCGGGTAAATTAGTAAATTAAAAAAGTATCAAAACTGTATTATGATTTATGCAGTGCTGAAAAAACCGCCTGAAAAAGAGATGCACTTCTAAATTGACTTAGCAGTCTTGTGTCAAAGGTAAAATGTAAAAGTTTCTGCAGTTTGATATGAAATATTTTTCGGTTTGTCCAGTTTTTGAGAATATAGTGCATATTTTTGCATATTAGTGTATTATCATTGCTTTTACACCATTTAATGATCTTTCTTGTAAATCGTCTAATCAAGCTCATACGTATGAGACCCCGTTATATGAGATCCTTCTTTGTATAATCTAATAAAACTTCAAGTATACAGCTCTATCTTATATTCGAGTCAATATGCTAATTTGTTTAAGTATTTAATAACATCAATGTATATTCACTGTTATTACATTAAAATGTATATTAATCTCAAATTAATCAGTTTCATTTATTATAGTTAAAACATGAGAAGGAAATATGTCTAAAGAGAAATGCTTTCGTGGAAAATTTTACAAGGGAGACAGGCTCATATTCCAATTGCACACGGTGTAAAGCATGGACACATTATACTGACAGCCAACTGAATGATCGCTGAGCAAAGGATGAATTAATAGTGTTCAAAGATTCCATCCGCTTTGCCATTTATAAAGACTGAATAGACAATTCAAGATATGAATTTTGGAACAATTACTGATGTTCCGGGTATTATGCCTTGTTACAGCAACATGTTTTAAAAATTACAATTTCAAAATAGCATTTATGGCTGGCGAAGCTATTTATTGGCGTTTTCAGGTACAACTGTTATGCAAAGACGAATCATGCGCAGTTCAGTGTTTGGAAAGAGAAATGATATATGCAGTTGGATATTATGATGTTTGTAGTACATGATCAGCAGTAGGAATAATCATAATCTGTATAATTTTTGTCCAGTTCTGCCAATTGCGCAATTTTCCTTTCAACTTCAGTACACATCCTCCAACATATCATTCTTTCGACTACCTTCTCTCCAAATTTGCTGATTTCAGTTCACTCATATGAAAATGAGTGTTACCTCGATTCGTAGGATTCTAAGGAAAGACATAATAATACTAACAGATATTTACCATTTAATATATTAAGCTTTTATTGAAATATTCAGGTGATAATTTTGCATTATTACGAATATTAAACGCTCAGATGAATATTTTAACAAAATATGTGATACACGAAAATATTTGCATACTATGTCATTTTCGAATAGTTTAGAATATATTCTCAATAACGTAATGTATTTCGGATTGAAGAGAAATAAGAACGAAGTTCAAAACTGAGAAGTTTGATTTATTCATACGAAAGCTCGTGCAGCTGCTATAGTTGCAAGCTGCTGTTTAGACTCGCACTTAACATTAAACAAAATGAAATAAATAAGATATAAATAAATGACTGAATGAATAAAACTACTAAAGCCTAACCCATGCACTACAGATAACATCGTTTAAAATGGTTGTTATCATTAATAACAACGTTAAAATATCATTAAATTAAGCCAGTAGGAAATTTTAAATAGTATACGGACAGAGCACATAGCAGCAAATACTACGCTTACCTGTAGTATTAGCTCAGATTTAAACAGTAGCATTGGAAATTTTTGATACTTAAACACATTAATGAACATTTTGCCAAACTATTTATTTATATTGTTACTGACACCTATAACAATCGAAATCAAATACGACATGCAGCATTAAATAAAAATTAAGTATTTATTCACCAAATTTTGGATAGACATTTCAATAATATAGCGTACCTATTAACAGAACTTGTAATTCTGTTGACATGCAACTTAATTTCAAATCATTAAAAACCGTAAATTCTGTCTGATTGCTAGTCGCATAAGTAAGTTCAAATTAGACAAATGCCTATTAGTTTAGCTCTTCGTGAACGGCATGTGCTTCATAAACAGCATTATTGACATATTTTCGTTAAGGATAGATGTTTATCACCTCATGCTTTGAGATTTTTCTCAAAACGATATTTAGTCAATTGTTATTATAAGAGTAGAAAACGAGGACAGATTACCATCGTAAAGCAGAATCTTTGCAATTCGAATTTGTAATTCAGATTATAAAAGTTCGCTACTCTTAATCGAACAAATTGTATCATTTAAATTTTCAGTTGGCTATAACGCTGTCACGTATTTCAATGGAGTGTACTCATAATCGAATTTTAACCATTCCTAATAAGCAATAATGGTATCCTAAACATAGACCAGCATGTCCAATATTTTGTAAGTATAATTGTCTTAACGATTAGAAATGTATGTTTTGTAGAAAGATCCAATACCGTTAAAAACTAGTAAAAGAAATAGCAGCAATTCTATAACATTACCCGCGGGGCTATGTAAGCATTCATGTTTCAAAAGATAAAAAAGAACTATCTCGAGGGTACGCAAAAAATATTGAGCGACTTTGCATTTATGGATGCGCTGGGATCTAAAATAGAAAGATTTGTATATATGAAAAGAAATGACGAAAGAGAGCCGCGCATGAACAAGACACATCTTCGAAAAATGCTAAATTCTACATTACCAGGAAAAAAATTGCAAAAACGACTGAACGCGGTCATTATTTCGAACCCCCTGGGATGTGGAGAAACTAGTTTTTAAAATAAAATGCGCATACATGCGTTTGCACGATGTACATATTCTGCTCCCTGCAAATTAATGAAATAAGCAAAAGCGAAATATTTTCAAAATAATAATTTCTTCGATACACGAGACCATGTCATTTAAAAACTTATTAGCACTGGAATATATCAACATAAAAAAATGTTTATTCCAAAATCAGAAATATTAGCATAATGAGAAAGTTAAAGTCGAAAATGAGGAAGTCGCTATAAAAAAAGGTAAAGCTAATTAAGATAGAAACAAGAAGATTCAACCTTTTGAACTAAATTTGGGGCTAATTATTCACATTCGCGACAATTTTATTAAAAAGTGGTAATATACCAAGACTCTCGAATATGAATATTCACTTTTTCAATGAGTTTTTTCAACTCCCAAAGAAATTGAGTCGGGACCGAAAAAAGGGAGATTTAGCATTTCCATCGCAAAAGGAAAACTAGTTTTCTCATCGCCAGTTGAAAATAGCAATTTTTTTATCTGTCCCTGACGCATTCGTTTTTATGAATATTCAAAATAACGAGGACGAAATTTAAATCGTAAATGCTACCAAAGCAGGACGATATAATTAATGAAAAGTGTGAACAGCCGACGCCTGCATTAAGGTTCTTAATTCCCATCCTTAATGGATTTGGCTGAATTTTATCCGAGTAAATCTCGGTTGCAAGTGAGTTGTTTAAAATGGCTGAAGTCAGACACTAAAAGAATCGTAAATGTGCAGTTTTATGGAACTATACCGGATTCAAAACAGAACAAATAGACGCTGCAATGTTATTTTTTAAATTAAAATGCTCTTCCTCTTTCCCGTTACACTTAGAAACACCCAAAATATTGACATTTGTATCAGTATCTGTTGTGACTGGTTAATAAAAAGAATTTTTTTCTATAAGCAATTAAATATAATTATTCTTAATTTAGGTTTTTTTCCTTTGAACTCGGAAATTATTTTCATACTTTCTCCCCGTAAACCCATTACGATTAGAAATGTTTGCGAAATTTTAATTCAATGCTTCTAGCAGGTAAAATAATGTAATCGCAAATTGCACCTACATAAAATAAAGAATTATTGTACCTGTCACTTATGTGTACATAAATTAGTCGTTTTTGTACATTCCATTTCTATATTACACTGGTATTTTGTTTCACAGTGAAGAAATGTTTTGTGTCAGATTTTTTGTCACGTATTCATGGATTCATTTTATTATTAGTATGGCGGTACAGCACCCAAAATCATCGCCTAACATGTTTCATTTCAGAATTTTTGACAGCATTTTATTGTGAATTTTATATCTCTGTGAAAAATCTATTCTTACGTATCGCTCAGCTACTACTAAAAAATTTAGGTAGGACAGCAGAAAGGATATTTTGTAACATACGTAACAAAAAAAAGAGACAAGAAGTTTTGAACATCATTCATTGCTCATGCGAGGATACTAAAATCAGTACCATAAACGTTCTAGCAAATCCATTCGAAAATTGTCCATGCTTGCCACTGCAAAGTATTGAGGAGTCAATAAAGGTATCTTCCTCCATTTTCTTAGTTTGGACCTACAAAGTTATAAGATATTTCTCCCGCCTTAGCATATTGTCAAGGTCTAAGCTCGGCGAGAGGTATTCCAGATGTCCGAGTCCCGGCGAGAGCACTGCTCATTTTTTATCTCTCCCTCTTAAATAACCTAATGTCTCTGATCTCTGCAGTGGCGCCCAAACTAAAAAAGGTGGTGGATAATGATTCTCCACCACCAGGATTTGGCGATTGGCTTCCCTAATCCCCATTCGCCCTTTACAACGAGGAGTATATGAGGTATTTTTCTTGCGTTCTTAGCATGCCTTCGGGGTGTAATGGTCAGCACGCTCGGCGCATATTAGAAAGGTCTGAGGTTCGAGTCCCGGTGAGGGCATTTCTCCTTTTTAACGTCTCTTAGCATAAAAAAACCTAATATCTCTGTAAAGTATTCCTTCTTTGAATATAGGAGTATCTTCTTTGAATCTTAGCAATTTTTTACACAATATTGATATCTCGATGACAGAGTTTTTTCTAAGATTTTTAACAAATGCAAATAAATATGGAAGCACATAAGTAGTATCTCATTCAAATCGACTAATGGAACATATTGGGTTTTGTATTTCCTGATTCGGAATTGTTTTTTTA